TATACACTGTCATAGAAAGAAATTGCTAATAATTTCATGTTCAAATGCAATCGTAATTTCTGATCACAATGTGTAACTTCAAGTACATTTATCATCGATATTTATAACGTACAAAAAGAATCGTAATTATATTTTTATGAATTTTAATAAAAACATTGAAAGCATAAAAACATTTTTTTTATATATTTTAAGAAACCAACTTCAATTCCTTTTATAATTTTTCTCTTTTCGTTCCATACTCTTAACGGTCATAAATTCTATTAATGGTCAAAAGTTTAAATAATGTAGTAAAATATATTATTTCTAAAGAAGAAAAGCTTGTTTGCTATTTTATTGTATTACCTTTTCCACCGGTCAAGTAGTTTATGATTGACAAACTTTAACCGATATCCCGCACCGACGTGCACTTTAATTCCTGCTACGTGTTTCATTGCCTACCTGGAACGAGATAATCATTTCCCTTAATACATATAGTCAGAAATAAAATGATACATAGCATGTTTCGTAATTAAATTCAATGCATGTACATGTATATCGTTGCGAACACACAATGGATTTTGCTAAGAACTTGGCCCTGCTTGAACAGATTGCCGATCTTTTCCAGCCAGAAATATTGATTGACTAACAGAAAGTCTTTTATTAAATATACTTTATATCGCTCTAATTGCGTTGTAAAAATTCTCAAGCTTATGAATGTAAATAAATTTTACTTTCTTTAACATTATTTAATTTATAGTATTACATAAACGTAAGAACGAATAAAAATTTAGAAGATTCTATAAGGATTGCACAATAGTTACAAATTTGATTTAAATTATAAATTAAAAGAATAGCATGCTTCGCTTTGTTCGTATGTAAATCGTAGTTAATTTCTTTGAATACATAGGGAAAGTATAATGTTAAATATTAGAAAATATTATGTTATTTTGTGCAAATTAACGTATTGTGTTTATCTTCAATACACGATATCTCGCAAAATGGATTGCAATCATAATTATTTCAAAAACAGTGATTTTAGATTTATCTTTTAAACAAATTAAATAAGGGAACAGTAAAATTATTAAACTGACAGAAATGAATGATCTAAATGGCAAATAATGTACATACGTGCATTCGCTGTGAAAATGACTAAAATTATAAATATTTAAAGTCTTTGAACAATACTATCTTGGCTATTAATTATTGCTATATAAAGCTAAGTAATCAATATTAATTAATTATAAAGTGAATCAGGAGTATCAGTCAGTGTTAAATAATTATAATCAAATATTGTAACACCTGATATTGGTGTAACCTTTCATGCTGCAGTTTCATGGTGACATAAGACCGTATAAAGCTTTAATTCAGTTTGGACTAATGGTAAGTAGCTTACGCGTACGTTAGGTATGTCATTACATGCTATCTCAAGTCACCCCTTGCTCTCTATCCCTACTTCTATCATGCCACCCTTCGCTTGCTACTACAAAGCCCAAGTTGTGGATTTTTTTAAGTTGACTACCGCCATCTTTGTGATTATTTGTAGTCGTTGAAGACGTACTTACGTGCCTTACTCATATTTCATAAACCTTTGTGAGTTTACTGTGTCATCGTCATGCGTGCACGCGCACGAATGATTCTGTCTGTATACATATTACTTTGAGTCCGAAGCAACGTACGTGTGAATGTACTAGTTCATGTGCGCTTCTGTCCACTTTTTGCCAAAAAACTGGCGGTCACGCACTATTTTACGACTTTTGCCGGACTTCTACGGTCCGAAGGACGAGCCTTTTTCCCGGACATGAGGACAAACCTTTATACATCTCTTTTAGAAGTAAAGAGCATTCCGTAGTACGTAATCTCAGAGTTACAGTATTGTTGAAATACTGTCTCCCATATCCTTTCGTATACTTTTGCAAGAGCACTTTCATGTACGTTTTGAACGTAGAAATTGTCAAATTAAACGTACATGCTAAAAATTTATTTATAACCTGACTTGCCAACCTTCGTGATTTTACTGAACAATTAAAAAACCAAATTATTAGCTAAGGTTATTGTTACGAAATTATTTTTAAGTATAGAGGTAGTAAAATATATTTAAGTAATAGAATATACTTTGTTTAAAAAGTTATCATTCCTGGTATTTACATATATTCATAGTTAATAGCAAACTTTCCAGCATATCAACTCCTTTAACATACTTTTAATACATTTGAAAGTGTAAATTCATGTGTGATGCATTGGCATAACTAATCACAGAATTCACAAAGTATATAAATCAACTATTTTGCATCATTAAAGTAATATGAAATTGTTTTCCAGGCAGGCTTTTATCTATTCAACATTTCATTCACGTTATTAATTTGCTCGAGAAGAAGGACAGGAGAAGGACATCCGTATTACATTAATATAACCAATAACATTAATTGATACTTTTATTCATTATGTTTTTAAAGATAATATTTGTTTATTCCAATTAATATTTTGTTTATTTTCTATTCTTACATTCCAAGTTTCTGATCAAGTATCCAAGACTTGATTTTTGATACTTTATCTTTCTTCGTTTACCTGTCACTAGTTAGGTTCTTTTGCTTATTTTACATTTAATAGCGTTGTACATACTTCGAGTGCAATATATTTGATTTCTCGTTGCAGTATGCCCCATTATATTTGTAATAATTAATTGCTTCACAGTTCACACAAATATTTAGAGTGTCCTCAATGTGAGTCTAGCACATAACAATTTCATTTTAATCCTGGTATTATTAATGCGCTATTTCTTAATGTAGTTATCTTTGATAACCTAATTCAATTTCCATCTTTTATTTCCGTAGTACTGTTTTTTATAAATTTTTTATATTTGCTATATTTTTCGAGAAACGAAAGTGATCTTTAATTTTTTAAATGGAATGCTGCATATTTTTTTGTCATATGAAAGCGCGTATCAAGGCGAGAATTCATCCATGTGCTATACCATGACCGTCGGGGTCGTACAAGGCCAGAAATGAAAGAAATATTTCGAATATTACGTACAAATATGTTTACAAGTCTTCTTTCTTGAGAAGACTATAGATATTCAATATGACTTCCTTCCTGCACGAATGTCATTTCAGCTCTGTGAATTACACTTTTGGTAGCTTCTGTTAATATTATTCGAGATATTAATGCACACGATATGTACATATATCCAACAAGATGCAGCCCTACCACGTAATTGCAGAATTGTGAGAAATTACCTTAATAACACGTTTAAGGATAAATGAATTGGAACATACAGAATTGTCAAGTGGCCATCGAGATACCTAGATTTATCACTTCTCGATTTCTTTTTATGGAGCATTGTTAAAGATGTCGTTTATGATAAACCATCCTCAGATGTAAACGATTAAAAAAAAAAAGATAACCACGAAAAATGTAACGCAGAGAGCTGAAAAATGTATTGCAGCTAACAGAAGGCATATGGAACACGGGATGTAAATGTATCAATAAGAAATACAGTAAATACAATAATACGAAATATTTATTTCAAATCATTTTAAGCATTCCATTTAAAAAATTGGAGGCTACCTTCATTTCTACAAAAATAGTGCAAACACCAAAAAATTACTTGCAAAAGAGAGTACTACTCTTTCCTCTCTCATTTTTTCCTCTCATTTATAGTTTACGAAAAAAACGCTGGCTAGTAAATTCGTAAACACCCTGTGTACATACATCGCTATTTTCCTCAGTTTGCCAAAACAAAATAATGTCGTTAAGAGGTTGCGCATAGTGTACTATTGCATACATAAGTATCAAGTCGCGTCGAATATGGCGAATTGGTTGCCCCGGTGTAATGTTTGAATTTCTTTTTTCGTACATGACCTCTTTTGATTGCTATAAAAAAATCACCAAAGCGATGTCACGATTGGCAAATCGGTAACACTTTTACTCTTGGACAGTCTTCGCCGGTTCTCAAGCGTACCGTTCACCTTGGGAATTCCAACCTGGTGAACTAGTGGTATGTCGAGTCAGCGAGAGAGTTGTTAGGCCCAAGGACGAGTAGTACCAGACATACAGACTGTCCGTACGTCACGCCGCACAGTGGGGTATTTGCCTCTGAAACGCGGTAAAAATTATTTTCCGACCGAAATCATATATTTACCCCTCGTTTTTTTTATTTTCTACAATTTGGGCATATATTTGTGGTTTTGTGGGTACAGAATAATAAATAAAAATTATTTTGCAACAGCATTTATAAATACATTATTGAAAATATGGGGCAAAGTGAAGTGTCGTAACGTCATGAGACGTCAAGCCCTATTAAAGATGCAGAAGCAAGACACCAGCAACTCATGTGACCTGTGAAATTGCGGAGATTGCGGTCAGACAACAATTTCTACATAGGTCCTGCCGTCTGGCTTGCAGTGTCAATTAATTGACTCAAAAATGGCGAAACAAGATGTTCTTGCCATAAACCCAAATCCTTAATATATGTAGTTAAATATTGATTCCATAATACTTTTACATTAGTGTTAATCTGTACTTTTTTATTTTCAACATTTCAATTTTCCAAACCTGCATACTTATATATAAATGTTATATATAAATATTGATTACTATAAAGTAATTAGAACTCTGTAGGATGGGTCAAAAGAACCAAACTTATCTTAAAATGGAAATTTCTCCCAGATTATTGATGGTAGAGGAAAGCAGAAATGTATTAAAGTTAAAATTTTTCTCTCTCCATAAGTATTTGAGTTGACTGTTGTATTGAGACAATGAATATGGAATATGATCAATGTGGCTGCCACCGTGCTCAATCATTGCCTTTAATTTTTTCGTCTGTTTCAAGATGACTTTAGAAATCGAAGCCTGAAAAAATTTCTCGCATACACTGCAGAAATACGTTCTTTAAAATCGTTCCATC